CGAACAAAAAACACAACCCAAACATCAAATGACCAAAAAAGAAAATCAAACATGCAAACCACTTGGCAAAATTAGGGCTCATCATGAATACATTTTTTTTTGCAAAAAGATGAACAAATTTGTCAGGCAAATAAACAGTCAAATATATGATCTTTCATTCATTTCTCAAGAAAATACATATAACCTTAAACATAAAAAAAAATAGAGAAAATCAACCAAAAGGCAACACATCCACGGCAGAATTTTCTGGGAAAAATGGATCCAAATCTGATGGGAGGGATCCCACCCACGAGACCAGGCTCCCATCGTCCCCTTCACCACCATTCCCAGAAAACTCCTCTGTTCAAAGACCTCCCGTTTCTAACCTAAAACCCTATATTTATACCCAAACACAGCAACCCTAAAAACCCTAATAGGAACATTCCAAAAATCAACTCCTCGGGCCTTTTGGATCCACGGTTTTGGGCTCTTCAGATCTGTTTCTCCTTTACCCGAATCTATAAGGCATTTGGGCCTCTCCGATGTTGATCCTTTTTACAAAATCTGGGAAATGCACTTGGGCCTTCATCCATGCCCAATTCACCCTGTCGTCACTTTGTAGCTAGCATAGATTTGGTTTGCAGATCTGTTTCAGTTGGATGATGATTGATATTTCGCCGAGTCGCCGGGGCTTCGCGTGCACCTCACCTCCATCGCTGGTTGGTAGATCTGGCTTTCCTCTCTCCGGTTCCGATGCTCACTCGCCGGGATGGTGGGTGCTGGGCCACGGGAATGATTGGGAAGGTGAGTGTGGGTGATGGCTACTCGATTGACTGCAACCGGGGACTTTGATGTGGAAGGGATCTAAAATGATGGGAATTGAAGGCTTGGAACCGAAGAAGGGGAAGAGGATCACCAGCTTCTTTTTTTTGAGAAATGGCTGCCGGTTAGTCTGCAACAGGAAGAGGAAGGTGAAATCGATGGCTGAGGATAAAGATTCATGGATTTGGGAGCCATGGGAGAGATGATGGTAACCGAAAAACTCGCCAGCGTTGATGGATCTGGAGAAAACTGAGCTTGCATGGAGGATGATCCGGGAGATGAGGGAGAGAAAGAGAAAGCCGAAGGTGCATGAGGGGAAGAAGATCGAAGTGGTTTTGGCATGGAAAGAAGCTCAACGGTCGGTGACTTTGGCAAAGGGTGGCTGCCGGCTGGTTTTGGGGAGAAGGCCGGTTCGAGAAAGAGAAAGATGGCATTTGAGTGAAAATGGAGAAGATTTGGGAGAAAAGGC